TATACACATCCCCATGTGAGAATAGGATCATAGAATCCTATTACAACTTTGTAAGCTTTTAAAGGTACATTCCCTAGATAGATTAGATAAAGGGATATTCAATTTTTTTTATTTTGTAAAAAAAAAAAATTTAAGCAATTCTTTTTTTTTATTATAAAGTCAATGTTTATTAACATACTGTTCATTTTCAAAATTTAAAAGAATTTACAAAAATTAATAATTTCTTTTTTTGTCAAACCTGTTTTCAAATTGATATCATTCTGGTCCAGGCACTGCTGATAACACAAAGCAATGGAATAGCAAACCTCAAGAATCATTTTGTTCAGGATTTGTGCGCCCTCAATTCAGTGACTGTTGCGGTTTTGTACCATAAACTTTATCTTTTATGTATTGCCCCCCCCCCCCAAAAAAAAAAAGTCTAGTGGCACTTTAGGATACATTTTTTTTGTTTAAAGCTTAGTCTGGCTTCACCCATGATTTCAAACCAGTTAAACCTGAAAAGGAGTGAAAATTAAATGACTTATCAGATGTTAAAGTGTATATACCTTTTGGGGGGGGGTACCCAATATATGTATATACTGGAGTGGACCAAATAAGTAGGTTTACAGTTGTGAGCACGTGAAACACAGACTTTATTCTTGTGTTATTATTTATTAACCTGCAGGTCTTTTCCCATATGAACAACTGTAAACCTACCTTTGCTCACCCCTGTATGTACAGAGAGGCAGACACATTAAATTGTATTGCGGACAGTTTCTCTTCTCGGCCAGCTTGGTTTGGACAGAAAACTCTGCGGCTCGTCCTTCTAAGTTCTCCCCCAGTTAGTTGGGTCCTCACATCCACTTTCCACCTTCATTGTAAGCTCTTCCCCAGGAGCCACCATGGGAGGCAGCCAGCAAGGTGGGAGTCCCAGGAGGCGGGGTCCCGGACACCTGGGGTGGGGAGAGGGTGCAGCTGCTGCCTCTGTGGAGGTTTGGAGGGTGGGGAAGAGGGTGTAAACAATTCTTTTTTTAAAATATTTTTTTAATTGATTTCAGAGAGGAAGGGAGAGGGAGAGAGAGCTAGAAACATCAGTGATGAGAGAGAATCATTGATTGGCTGCCTCCTGCACACCCCCTACAGGGGATCAAGCCTGCAACCGCATGTGGCCTTGGCCGGAATCGAACCTGGGACCCTTCAGTCCACAGGCGGATGCTCTATCCACTGAGCCAAACCAGCTAGGGCTAAGCAATTCTTATAGAAATAGCTTATTATATCTCTGAAGAATTATACTCAGTGCTAGCTGCTGGGTCTCGAGAGGGACATGGACAAACTAGGATGGTTTGTTTCCAGACCCTTTGCACACACCCCAGTCTGTCAGTGTCCTATGAGCCCTGGTTAAAAGAATGAGGCATATGAAATTACATCCAGAAAGCAGAAGAAAAAGCTGGGTCCCTTTCCTCTTGGAAGATACTTCCCCCAGACTACAAGAAGCTGGCTTGTCCACCCCTTACTCCCACTCCTCCTTAATCTGTCACCTCAGGCTCTTTCTAAAGTAGGTTAATAGAGCACCAAAGGAAGGGACGCTGGTATTTCCTGGGGTCTTTCCTTCTGTGGGGAAGCAGTCATTCCCATCTAACAGAAGGGAAACACTAAGAAGGCAGCATGCATGGTCAAGGTGCCAAGGACAATCTTCTGTTACTTGAGCAGTTCTGGCATCTATTCCCCCACGCCCTTGACTCAGTATCCCCATGCTGTCCTCTGTCACTCTAAATCCCCTTCTGGGGTGCCTCACTCAATCTGTCTCGTAAGTGTTTCATTCTCCAAATCACTTATTTCTTCAATCTGAATATCAGAGACCAATCGCTAAAAGATACATGCTAATCAACACATCGAATATAAATAAAATGAAGAATGACAAGCAGAGATGTGAAGCAATATAATAATAGTCTTATCCAAGTGTGAGAATTTAACCCAATTCTCCTTGTGGTTGAGGATTTTAAGATCATGTGGGAAAAAGAATATGTGGAAACTGAGGACATAAGTGAACCTATAATAGTGATTCGTGCACGGGTGGGGTCCCTGGGCCTGGCCTGCAGGGATCAGGCTGAAACTGGCTCTCTGACATCCCCCAAGGGGTCCCAGATTGTGAGAGGGCACAGGCCAGGCCAAGGGACCCCACCAGTGCACGATCAGGACCAGGGAGGGACTGTGGGAGGGCTCCAGGGCGTGTCTGGCCTGTCTCTCCCAGTCCCAATCAGCTGACCCCAGCAGCAACCTAACCTACAGGTTGGAACATCTGCCCCCTGGTGGTCATTGCGCATCATAGTGACTGGTCAAACAGTCAAACGTAGGACACTTAGCATATTAGGTTTTTATTATCTAGGATAATTATATGTAATAGAGACTCATTAGAATGTTAAGTTTCTTGAGGCGTAAGAGCTACATCTGTTTTTGTTTCATTGGTATATATGTACCCCCAAGTACCTAGGAAAATGCCTGCCATGTAATGTTGCAAATATTTATTTGTTTTCATGATTAGCTGGATAAACTGCTGGTTTAATTTCAATTCAGTGGCTTGTGTTCTTAAATTACTTTGATTTGATTTGATTTGATTATGGATTATTGCCTTTTTATTTGCTCCTTCATCTAATCGGGTGGGGAACATCCACCCTGCGGGCCTTATAAGGCCTGCGAAATCATTTGGTCTGGCCCTGCCAAGGCATTAGGGGTGAGTTGATTAAATGTCTGACCAAATATAGCAGGCTAGTTTTTAAGCTGATAATTTTATATGGCCTGAGAATGATGCTATAAATATCCAAATGGTCGTTGGCAGAAAAAAAGGTACCCAACCCCTAATCTAAATATTCAATTCTTTTTCATTTATTTTTTGGAATCTCCCACTTCTTCATGTCCCACCAGGGTCCTGAAGCTGTAAAGTACCTTGGATATGTGTGGGGGGAAGAGATTTAGAATACCTTTATTTGACCAGCTTCTTTCACTAGAGCTAAGCAGTATTTTTAACCACACTCTCTGCCCCTGTTTCATCAGGTTTAAATAGCTGTAGCTCAGCCTGTGATCATTGTGTCTGAGCACATGTTTCTACTTCTTTTACACGCATTTTATTTCTGCTTCTTCTCCATCTCCTTTACTGCTACCTCCTCTTCTAAATGTTGGTGCACCTAGGCCCAAGTTCTAGTCCTACCTCTCCTTTTTCTCTCTTCTGTCTCCCTAAGTGATCTCATTCATTCCCATTGCTTTAAATACCAAATACATGCCCCTGAATCCCAGATACATACCTCCATCCTTGATCTACCTTTTTAAGCTGCAAATCTCTATACTCAGTCTCCTACTTGGGTAAAACAAACAAGACATTTTCATAAGTCTAAAATGGAACTTCTGATTTCCACTGCTCCTCCTCAATCTCTACGCAACCAACTACTCAAACCATTGAGCCATCTTGGGTTCTGATCCACTTCCTTACCCTCTAGTTCCAGTTCATGAGCATGTGTAGTCATTTTTATAACCTCCAAATTAACTCTTGAATGTACTTGCCTTCAGTTTCACTCCTCACACCCAAGTTGGAGCTAGCATCATCTCTTGTCAGGACTAAGGTAACGCATGGCTCCCTGCTACCCATCTTTGCCCTGGAAGTACTCGTCTGCACACAGCAGCAAGAAACTCAGTGACAGTGCCCTCTTAGCAGTCAGTAGGCATTGACTCCATATAATTGGGATACAATAAAAAGTTGTCACTGTGACCTGCCAGGCCTACATGAAGTGTCCCCTCTGTACTTATGCACGTCATGGATGCCCTCTCCACCTACCTCTTCAAGCTTATGCTGTGCCCCACACATGATGTGCTGGCTTTTTGACAAGTTTGAAACATGATCTCAGGCCTTAGAAACGGCTGTTTCCTGTGCCTGCAATGTTTTTTCCTCAACTACTTTTTGTTTGTTTTGTTTCTGTTTTGACAAGTTACAGACATCTGTATACCTACCACCAAAATTAATATTAACATTTTGCCATTTTCCTCAGATTTTTAAAAAAGATATACTTTTATATATTTTTTTATTTATTTAAGAGAGGAAGGGAAAGGGAAAGAGAGATAGAAACATCAATGAGCAGAGAGAATCATTGATCAGCTGCCTCCTGCATGCCCCACACTGGGGATCGAGCCCACAACCCGGGCATGTGCCCTGACTGGGAATTGAACTGTTCATAGGTCAACACTCAGCCACTGAGCCATGCCGGCCAGACTTCCTCAGATTTTAACATTATAATAATAGAAAAATGGAAGTAACGATTGAGCTTTCTTCCTTATGTCCCATCCTTTCCTCCTTACTCAGAGCCAATAATGGATATGGTTGGTTTCCTGCCCTGCATCCATGTCTCCCTCCCCTCTTTCTGACAGCCTTGACTTCTTTAAGGCACTCACACCTCCTCCCATCCCTCCCCACACCTTCATGTGCTTCAGCAAAAGCCAATGTTGGCCCAACTGTGGCCAAGAGACAGCAAAATGGTTTCCTGGGAGCTGTGCTCATTCTCCCCAGGGTACACAGTGGGAAGCTGGTAGCACTTCTTGAGGTTTCTACCCTCTTTATTCTGCCCTCAAGCATTTGCCTTTAGAGAACCAGGATGGAACCAGAGGAGCCAGGCTATATAAATTTCTGATCCAACGCCAAGGCAGGAGCTAAACGTACTCTTGTTTGTTCAGTCTTCATCATGTCATCTGCTTATCTTGCATAACTGTTGGCTCAAAACTTAGAGCAACATAAACATCACAAATAGAAGGAACTAGCTTCCTAAATGTCTCCACCCTCCTCCCAAACAGAAAGAGGATTCTTTCTCTTATAGCTAACCATTTTTTTGGTTAGCATATTATCTTACTATATTCTACTTATGTGTGTGTTTGTACTCAGTGCTATGAAAAACTTACACAAGGTTAAGTCCCCATTCAGACATAAAGTGTTTAAAAGGACAATCAGAACTGACCTCTCTGTTTCTCCTCTCTGCTTGCAGGGTGCGGCATGTTTACTCTCCTGTCATCGGTCACGGCAGCTGTCAGTGGCCTCCTGGTGGGTTATGAACTTGGGATCATCTCCGGAGCTCTTCTTCAGCTAAGAACCTTGTTAGTCCTGACCTGCCAGGAGCAGGAAATGGTTGTGAGCTCCCTCCTCATCGGGGCCTTACTCACCTCTCTCACGGGAGGGGTCCTCATTGACAGGTATGGAAGAAGGGCTGCCATCATCTTGTCGTCCTGCCTACTTGGACTTGGAAGCCTAGTCTTGATACTCAGTTTATCTTACACGGTTCTTATAGTGGGACGCATTGCGATAGGGGTTTCCATTGCACTCTCTTCAATTGCCACTTGTGTTTACATCGCCGAGATTGCCCCCCAGCACAGACGGGGTCTTCTGGTGTCACTGAATGAGCTGATGATTGTCATTGGCATTCTTTTGGCCTACATTTCAAATTATGCATTTGCCAATGTTGCCCATGGCTGGAAGTACATGTTCGGCCTTGTTATTCCCTTGGGAGTTTTGCAAGCGATTGGAATGTATTTTCTTCCTCCAAGTCCCCGGTTTCTGGTGATGAAAGGACAGGAGGAAGCTGCTGGCAAGGTTCTTCAAAGGTTGAGAGCCCTCTCAGATACAGTTGAGGAACTCACTCTGATAAAATCTTCCCTGAAAGATGAATATCAGTATAGTTTTTGGGATCTGTTTCGTTCGAAGGACAACATGAGGACCAGAGTAATGATAGGCCTAACACTGGTATTTTTTGTACAAATTACTGGCCAACCAAACATATTATTCTATGCATCAACTGTTTTGAAATCTGTTGGCTTCCAAAGCAATGAGGCAGCTAGCCTAGCCTCCACTGGCGTTGGGGTTGTCAAGGTCATCAGCACCGTCCCAGCCACGCTTCTTGTAGACCATGTCGGGGCCAAAACCTTCCTCTGTGTTGGCTCTTCCGTGATGGCAGCCTCATTGGTGACCATGGGCATTGTGAATCTCAACATCCACATGAACTTCACCAATATCTGCAGAAGCCATAGTCTTATCAACCAGTCCTTGGATGAGTTGGTGTTTTATGGATCAAGAAACTTGTCAGCCAGCAATGAAACTCTTAGAGAGCCCTTTAAGGGGATCACTTCCCACAGCAGAAGCTCATTAATGCCCAGGAGAAATGATGTGGATAAGAGAGGGGAGATGACCTCAGCGTCCTTACTAAATGCTGGACTGAGCCAAACTGAATACCAGATAGTCACAGACCCTGCGGAAGTCCGACCATTTTTGAAATGGCTATCCTTGGCCAGCTTACTTGTTTATGTTGCTGCTTTTTCAATTGGTCTAGGACCAAGTAAGTATTTCATTTTTTATTCCTCCTCCTTACCCCTTATAAAGGCTAGTGAATTGCTTTTGACCAATGAGAGCATCCCACTGCTATAGTATCTCATACACAGGCCTACTAGAAGCAGGACATGGATAATATCGGAAGAAAGTATGCCTGGCTTATACCTGCTTAGTGAAATGTGCAGGGCCAGTATCCACCCAAAGGGAAGTTCGCAATTATATGTCCCACAAGGATACTTTAAAATCAATTGATTGGAGGTGAACCAGACTTTGAAAGATATTTATTGTCCAAGAGAATATATTGTTTTATGAAAGCAAAGTTTACTGAGATAACATTTTTTTAAATATCATTCCTGAGTTTTTCCATAGGTGAGAGAGGGAAAGTATCAAGGTTTTCTTAAAGACACTGTAGTGGGTGCATTCCAGTAATAATGAAGAAGAAGGGGATTATGAGATGGAAAGAAGAATGCATTATTTCTTTAAGCTATTTTATCCCTAGAATAACCTCCCAGGGTACTTTACTCTCCCCTTTGAAACAGAGAATGGGAGTCAAGTTACTCTTATTAAACAGAATACAAACAATTTACAGGGAGATAGCTACAGGATGTTTTATTTTTGTAGCCAGTCTACTCCAATGACAAAGTTTAAACCCTTCTCTGGAGCAAAGTCTCTCAGGTTTGCTAGAATAGGCTGTTTGTTGAAGTTCCCTAGTCTTTTAGCTTCAGCCTGAAAGTCTAAACCTCTCTGTAGAGAAGTTGGAAAAGGTCTTTTGTACATCTCCCTAGAAAATAAAGTGCTTACTCTATCATCCTCAACTCCCACTTGCATGACTTTCAAGACCTTCCACCATCTCACCCAACTATATCAGGCTGTTTATACAACTCCTTGGGGTGCCATTTATAATGTGGTTTATGGAGTTATGCTCAAGGGCCACCATTCATACAGGAGTACATACTAGTATAGACTCCACATGGACAGCAAAGTGAACAGTGTCCCTGGCATTGTGCAATGGGGCAATACCTTATCACTCTGGGCTTCTTTATTTCCCACTGCTTTACACTTCCTCGACCCTACCCAAAGCTCAATGAAATTCTTCCTACCTTTAAAGCTCAATGAAATTCTTCTCTCCTCTTGGAATTCACTTCATTCTTAGAGGTCTTTATGTGTATGAACTACTAGTTATTTCTAGTGTAGAATAGGTCAGTTCTGGGCTATAAGAAGCCTGAATTTAAATCAGAAAACTTTATTCTAATCCCAGGTCTTCAACCTACTAGCTGTGTGATCTTTAAGTCAACTATCTTCATGAAGCTGTTTTTAATCTATGAATTGGGTATAATAATATCTGTTTTATGTCACAGAGTCAGCATCAGGTGAGCAAATGTATGTGTGGTTTGGATGCTACAGGGTATGATATAAATGGAAGTTTATACACATAGTGTAATATAACATAGTCCTTACTGATATAGTTATTGCTACTGTATGTTTTGGTTTATTAGCTAGAATATGGTTACTAGATTATCAGCTCTTTGAGGAAAGAAATGACATTTTATATTTTTTTCTTCTCTCCCTTTAAGTGAGTATAGCATAAATCTGTTTGAAAGCCATGCATGAACACATTTGTTTCTAAGGGGGCGGGGAGGACTTTAAAAATAAAATGCAGATATAGGAAAAATCTCAAAGTGTGCTTCTTTACATATGTTAAGTGATCTATGGGCAAACTAAGTAGCACATAAGTTAGAAATGCTAGGCGGCCAAAGAAACTCCTGTTTCTGCCAAACATCATCGCGAGTTCTTTTGCAAAATAATTCGTCACATGGGCATGTGATGAAAATCTCTTCCTGTGTTTGCTCATAAGAAAAGATGCAGGGGAGTTAGTAGTGCTTGGAAACAAGTAGTGGGAGGCATTTGGGGCTTTTCTTTGTTAAGTCATAGTTATTGGGACATTCAGGCACAGAGGACCTAAAATTAGTCCCAGTTTTGTTTTTGTTGTTTGTTTGTTTGTTTGTTTGTTTGTTTGTTTTGACACCTCTGCTTTTTGCTACTACCTGGAGAAGTGAGTCCCTTTGAGAATTTCTTAGACCCCCCCAGCAACACTAGTGAGGTAGAGAATCTCAGATTTGAAGTGGGTTTGGGTATGGGAAAGGGAAATAGCTTGGTCTCTCCAGCTTGTAATTGTAATGCCGAGGACTGAGCTAGGCATTCACTCCCGAGGCTGGGAGGCATGCAGCCTGCGACAGCATTCCCATCAGCCGCTTGCTCTAAGTAGAACAAGCAGCGATTTCCCATCTGTGGTTTGGGGCTATTGATTCTCCTTGAGCTTTTAGAAGGGATTTGAGTAATTTTCCTTTCTTTTTTTCCCCTCGCTAAGGATCAGTCATTTTTGTCCATATTCATGTTGTAGTTTATTTTTCTTTTCTGAAGAAAGCATACCACAGGAATTCCAATTCAATCACCAAAATTGTATTCTAGAGCATTGGTATAAGCTGCAAAAACCAGTGGGAGGTTCAAGAAGATTTTTATTAGGAGCAAGATTTTCATACTAGATCTTGAATGCTTTCTAAGACTTTTAACCTAATGTGATTATTCTCAGATATTTCATTTAGAGAGTTGATTGCTTGTAATAAAGCAAATCCTTTCTATAAATAGAGGTATAAAAGAAAATGCACATGTTGTTCTAAAGTAAAATCGAAAGCCAGATTATACCATTTTCATTAAACCTTCTTAAATATGGGTTGGCTTAAAAAAAACATTCCTTAATTGCATTAAATCATGCCATAATTTCTTCTGCCAAAGGAGTGTTTCTATTTTTTTTAGAATTGCATGTATGTTCTATGTCATTCCACTCTCTGGTCTTCTAACTGTAAAATAACAGGTTGCTCTAGAATCTAGAATTCAGGAGGGGAAATGAATTTGATACCAAGCAATCTTATGTATTATATTTTAATGCATTTAAAATATTATTCTAAAAAGGAATTCATAGCCCAAAGAGTTTAAGAACCTCAGCCCTGCATTTCTTTACAACTAATACTAAAATTCTTCCATCAAATAAAATCAGAATATATACTCCATTGCTTTTATTGGAGACTATTATTAAACATTTTGTTTTCCATAACTGATCTTTCACTTCAAAATATGTTCAAAATCTTACCCTTACTCTCCACAGTGTTTCCGGAGTGATCCTGATCATCATTTTAGCTTCTTTTAATAACAGTATTTTTCTGTCGTGGTTCAAGCATCGGGGTAGAATGGAAGAATCCTGACATTGTGAGGACTTAGAGCCCCATGCTTTATGAGTAAAGCAGAGCTGAGCCCAAACACAAAGCATAAAGTTATTATCTCATGAGTTCATTTGAGGTGATACTTGTGTAGAAACCCAGCCTTCTTAAAATAGCAAATGTAACTCAGAAAAATGTGTGTGGCTGTTCTGTTCACAGTGATTCCCAGCGCTTTTCTAAATCCACAGATTCCTACGTCTGTACAATTAATTAACCTCCTCTTCCATCTCGTGATTATATATATTTTCATTATGACCAAATGAAAGGAATTTGTCCAAGGTCACATATTAAGTTTGGTATGCGACTGTGACTGCCATCCTTTTACTACCTTTGTATTCATACTGAACACTGACAGGTGATCCCCAATCATCTGCCCCAATCTCTTCTGTCGAATAAGCAGGAGTTCAGGCAAGAAAGCACCTTGGAGTGACCAACAAAGGAAGAGAGAGGGAAAGCCTGGGGGTTCACTGATTCACTCACTCATCCAGCACGTGTGTATTGCTCACCCAGATTCAGAGATGGCTGAGTGAAAACCACACCCTGCCCTCATGGAACGAGTGTGGGGACAGGCAATGAGCAAGAAAATGAAGAGAGGTACGATCCCAGGTCAGGAAGAGAGAGGTTAACATTCAGGCGGAGGACGAGTGATACAAAATGAAGAGGGATACATGAAAGAGCATTCTTGGAGGAGGGTTATTTCCGATGGGTTGGCCAGAAGAGGCCTTTCTGTGATGGTGACATTTGGGCCACGGCTCATATGAAGAAGGCAGTGTGAAACTCTGGGAGAAGGGAGTTTCAGCAGGGAGAATGGCAGGTCAAATAGCCTTGAGAGGGACATGAGCTGAAGGTTTAGGAGAACAGCAAGAAAGCCTCCCAAGGCTGTATAACGTGGTGTTTGAATTGGGACGAGGCTTTGGCATCATTTTGTGTCCCAGTCCCACAAGGTAGGACTTTGGACAAGTCAATTCATCTCTGCAGGCATTAGTTTCCCTACCTAGAAAATGGGGCAATATTGTCCATCTCACAGTGTAATTATGAGGTTGAATGGAACAGTCTGCATGTGGTTTAGTGTCTGGTCTGCAGCAGAGACTCAGTACATTTAGTTCCTGGTGCTGTTATGTATCTGGCTGTGGTCAAACTGAGATGAGTAGCTCTGATAATGCCAGGACTGACCTCAGCAGGCATTTTGCTTAAATCATGTCAGAACACAGGTAGTGCTCCGTACCTTATGCTGCATTGTGATGCCATGGTCCTCCTGACCTCCCTTCTATAAACCATTTTAGTCAGGTCAAGAAAAAAAAATACATTGGTGGCTTGGAATATGGTTCAATTCTGGATGACCTACAGTTAAGAGAGCTTCCTAGAGAAACAGACAGGCGGTACAGAAAATCCCTAGGCTTTGTGAAAGGTGATCGATGCGATGGATGTCGGCTGAGAAACACCCAACGCCTACTCGTATAAGTTGGTGCAACTAATGTAGACTCTATGTCCTCTGCACAAAAACTGTCTTGCTCACTGTTGTTTCCTTGGGTCTGACCCACAATAGGGACTCCATAAATATTTGTTAGATGAGTCAAAAACATCTCAGAAGAGAGAGAGAGAGAGATGTTTCTGGACCTCTCTCAGCTTCTGTGATTAAAGGGAAGCTCTCTCTCTCCAGTCTGGGGTTGTTACAGCCTGATCTCCTCTGGCATGAGTCTGAGTCAATATCTAGGGAATAAGAGATAAACGT